TAGTTCAAAAGCATCAATTCTTCAGGTCCTAGCTTTCTTTATGGTCCAACTCTCCCATCCATTTATGACTACTGGAAAAACCATAGCTTTGACTAGATGGACCCTTGTTAGCAAAGTAATGTCTCTGCTTTTCAATATGCTGTCTAGGTTTGTCATAGCTTTTCTTCCAAGAAGCAAGCATCTTTAATTCATGGCTGCAGTCATCATCTGCAGTGATTTTGGGGTTGACACTGTAGTGATTCTACAGTGATTTAAATGAAGTCCATTACAGTCACATATTCTGTATTTGAAGGACTAGATCAGGCTATAGTATTAGTCTCTCAGTCATGTCTGACTCTTCATGACTCCCATGGACTGTGGCCTGCCAGGTATCTCTGTCCATGGAATTCTCCAGGCAAGAACACTGGAGTGGGTTGATATTTCCTTCTCTAAGATCAAGCTATGACAGGTGGTAAAAATCTGTTTTCCATTATACCTAGGTAGGTGTCTTAGCAACATACTGTTTTGTTTTATGCCCACGAAGAATGAAAAAGCTCTACTGTTCAGAATTTTTCACCTACATAATTCATTAGTAATTATCATCAGAAAAATGATCGGAACGGTAACTACAGACAACAAATCAATAACTGAGTTATGGTAAATAAACTCCCCCTACACTGAACCATCAACTGGAACTTTGTCATTCTGTTGCTTCAGATTGCCCAGGTAAAATCTTCAGGTAGAGCTTATATATCAGCAACTCCCATTCTCTGTAGAAAAGAGGTCCAGAGTTTCCTCTCAACATAAGTAGTTAGTATTAGATCCGAGAGGGATACCTTAAGTGTGTTATTCTCTAGCTCAGAGGGGCCGGCATGGAGGTCACATGATTGCACTCTGCTAGAATTGTAATCTACTTAACAAGTGCTTTCCCATCTCCTCTGAATCCCTGAATTCCATTTACACCCTGTTTTGACCTATACCCTTTCCCCTATGACTGGCCTTTCTGGCTCAGTAGATGTCTTATAAAACCATGGGAGCAGTAAGCAAGCAGTGTTGTTAACACTTCTCCTTGGACTCACTCCAAGGTTGATGTTACAGATTTTGACAGATAAAGAATCACAGGACACACGGCCTTGTGTTTAGACATAGGCCTTAATTTACCTCCGTGGGTGAAGCTGTGACATATTCCCAAGAGTCTTTAAGGATAGGTACTGTCAAATTCAGTAGTATTAATATTGTGTTTTCTGCACTGATAACATTTTCTTTTGGTACATGTAACTTTAAGCTCAGGCCTGGGACCAAAAGATCAGGCAAAACAAAAGAAAAAACTTGTAAAATGGGAAAAATAGATAGTTGTATACTTAAATCATCCCCCATCACCTCATTCTTAGCTTCCAATCCCAGAAGTATTCCCAGTAGAATCTTGGCATTACTTGCTACCATAGTCAATGTTAGCATTAAATAATTTAATTAAGCTAATCATTAAATCTTCTTTTCCTTTCTGGCCATTTTAATTAACTAGTGCATCAATTTCCTGTTTCAGTCTTCAATTATATTGCTGCTCTATGGATGTTAACAAATGTAGCACACCTGTGAGATATTTCTTGTCCATTTCTGTGTGTTTATAGAAGTGAAATATATACAATGGTCAGATTATACTGAAGTGGGCCAAAGGATGGGGAATTGGCTGCTCCAAACTTTAACCATACTTCCCAATGTTGCCTAAGTTAAATCCGGCTTAGTGTTAAACAGGTATCATCCCAGTTAACACTCATTTGCAGCCTCTTGGGGCTTTTGGTAAAGGTCCAATATAGTCTACTTGCCAGCTAATATTCCAGTTCTTGGCTTTGGGAAATTTTTTTTATTCATTGCCATGTTTGTTTTCATTTTTAAAATTGGCTTTAAAATAAAATACGCCAATTTAAAATTTCAGTAAATATATACAGGCATGCAAGCATCAACATAATTATACAGAATATTTCCACCACTCTAAAAAAGTTAATGAGAAAAGTTGGATGCTGTCATTTTCCCACTCTGCAGTCAGTCCTTTCTCCAACTCCCAGCATCTGGCATCCAGTTACTTACCATGTGTCTATAATTTTCTATTTTTAAAATGTCACATAAATGGAATTATATAATATGAGCTTACTTGTATCTCACAACTCTCAATTTTCTCTCAACTCTCTACTTTCTTCTTTGATTAGTGGGTTAATAGAAGTATGTTGGTTAATTTCAAAATGTGGGGTGGGGATTCTCCAGGTACATCTCTGTTAATTTTGTATATTTGGAGAACACATACATATCTTTTCTCCTATGTTTTCATTTCCCTCCTTTTTGCCTCCTTTCTTTTGGATGACTTGAAAGTTGTTTTTTTTTTTTTTTAAACTATGTGACCCTATGCAAGGTAACTAAGTTGGAAGATCTGTTACCTCCCCCTGAATAGTTTCTTCACTTCCCAAGAACAAGGTTTTCATGACCTACTCACATGACATCATTTATGCCAATGGATCTGTGTTCAACTTAATGAATTTTAAAAAATCAGACATATCTATGTAATCAAAACCCAAATCCAGATTTAGATCATTGCCAGATTTAGATCATCACTACCTAGTCAATACTTGCCCTCCTGGAGATAACAGTTTTCCAGATTCTTAACACTGTAGATTCATTTTTTTCTATTCTTGAATTTTATATGGTTGAATCATACAGAATATGCTCCATATATGTGTGTGTATGTTAGTCGCTCAGTTGTGTCTGACTCTTTGTGACCCTATAGACTATAGCCTGCCAGGCTCCTCTATCCATAGAATTCTCCAAACAAGAGTACTGGAGTGGGTTGCCATTCCCTTCTCCAGGGGATCTCCCTGACCTAGTGATCGAACTGGGTCTCCCACATTGTAGGCACATTCCTTACCATTTGAGACACCAGGGAAGTCCCAATATTATATATACACATACCAAAAAAAGATGATCAGCATCACTCCAGTGGTATCTCTGGGAAAGGGAATGATTGGCAAGAGAAGAGTTGATGGAAAATACAACAAATTTTTTATGTATCGTGAAAATTTACCATATATGGCAAGAATGTTTTCATGTAATACTTATACCATTAAAAATAAATATTTCTAAATGGGAGGATTGTTCTGAAATTCAATATGGAAATAGTGTTTAAAAAAGTCTAAAAACCAGAAACATCAATAAATACTAAGTCATTAATATGAAAATTTCATGAGTTCACTCATACCTGTAAGACATGGAGGTTATGTAACACAATTATTAGAAATATGTTTCTATACATCCATATAGAACCAACCCTCATATAAGACCAGTGCATAATTTTATGGCCACAAAACTTTGCTGACAACTTCTCCACATGGAAAGGTCCTATTGTTCCATTTTTTTTGCTTAAAACTTCTTCTGAAAATTAAAGTGTGTATATGTTGGGGGTGGGGCAGGGGGAAGCCTGAAAACCTGCACTGCATCATTTATATCTGTGTCTTTAGAAGGAATGTGCCACTCAGCAAATCTTTCTTTAATAGTGTTCTTGAGAATAATTTCTGTCTCTGCACACCTATAGTCAATCAATAGAAACTATGCTATAAATGTTAAAATCAGATCTATAATTTTGTCATTCGAATGTCAAGGACAAATCAATTTGGTTTTATACTTTACCCAAAAGTTTAATACTGTTAATCACCATCTCCAACCTTTACACAGAGGTGCACACACATACAGACACACAAATGAAAAGTAATATCAGTCACAGTAAGGTCATATTCTATAGCTCTGTTTTTTTAACAGGGCAGGTTCTCTCAGGGTTAGAGTCTACTCCATTTTCTAGTAGTATTAGGGGTAGAATATGTACTGTCCAGTGAAGTGTCACATGAACTTCAATATGTAACTATGCAATCTTAGAAAATCTGCAAGTGGGCAACAAAGAAAGTGAGAGCATACTCTGTACATTCATAGGGAAACTCAAGACAAATATATCTGTAGTGAGAATTTCAATCATAAGAGTTGCTGAGCAACATTTTCTCAAAAATGAGAACACAAAACCACCTCATTTTTTTCTTTTTAACAGCTAAGGAGATCAATTGCATGTTCTCTAAATAAGGCTTTCTGCTAAAGATAACACCTTGATTTCCACAAGAAGAGAGTGGCTTGGTGTTTACCAAGAAGAAATACTATGGAATCTTCCTTTTAATGCTGTTTAAAACGTGAATGTATTTGTAACATCTTCCACAGCTTGAGACCTTGTTATTTCAGAGATCAGCAAGGTATATACTATGAAATGAGGTATATGATTTAGGCTTTGAGAACCCTGAGGCTCCAGGGCATTTACTGTAATAGGCTCATGAAATAAATGAATTGGGCTCAAACCCCATGGTTTCTTGAACATGAATATAATTATAAAAATTTAAAACAACAAATTAAATGTGTTCACATGTAATATCCATATTTGAATCAGATTACCACCTGCCTGTTGTGTCTATGCTAACTGATCAAATGACACTGTATCAAACGTGAATTTCTCATTGCCTTCAACAAAAATCCACTACCCAGCATATTTCTGATACCAGAGAGTCAATCTTTCTAGTGATACTTAGCATTATTCAAGGTGTGTTAAAAAAAAAAAAAGATAAAACTATGTGTTGTGCCACATACAGATTTTAAAGAGTTTCAAAAAATAATCAATCTATACTTTTTGTTCCCTATGAATCTGAATTCCATATCTTATAAAAGGAACTTAAACTGAAGGACTATAATATAATACCAATTTAGAGACAATTATATATTTAGGAACAAAAAAGAAAGCCAAAAAAGAAAAAAGACTCACTATTAATCACTTTGGTAAATAATCAAAAGCCCATTCTAAAACTTCCCCTTACTCAATTCCTTTAGCTTATAACTCCACATTTTATATTCTAAATCAATCTTCCTTTTAAGTTGTAACTGTTTATTAGTGAACTCAGAATAGCTGAGTGGTAACAGACAGCTCCCTTGAAAGCCTGGCTACATACCTAGAGCTGCTACTTTTATGATGATTGCTTGAATGTTAGATGATATCATCTCTTGGAGCAAATCTTCCTGGTTTCTCTGCCAAAGGTAAGTTAAAGGCTGGAGATTAAGCCTTTTACACCTATAAAATAATTTTTAAAAAATCACATAACATTTTAATGTTCTATACTTAGATCCATAGCAATTACTTTGATTTTAAACATACTGTTTCTCTCAAGGATTTTAGCATATAAAATACTTTAAAAAGTATGTTTTGCATAATGAAATTTATGTATACAACATAAACATATTTAATTTCCACAAGCTATTCCTAAACAGATAAAAATGAAATCTCCAAGCAGATTAGAAATATTAATTTTAGTAAGACTAAATCGATGCAAAAAAGTTTCCAAATGCTAATGGATGATTATTCTTGTTTTTAGAACTTCCTTAGGAGTCAAAAGTGCAAAGCTTATGCAAAATAGGCAAATAACTGTATCCTAATAAAATAATCATATTAGGATAAATTTATATCCTAATAAATAGGAAATAATCATATCTTAAAAAAATAATCATATACTGGTTAAATTTATAATATCTATGGTTATATGAACTACTCTTACCCAACTTTGAAACTTTTTTTAAGGGTAGAGATAAATTGAAATATGAGTTAACAGATAAAAATTATCTATTATATATATAAAATAGACAAACAACAAGGGTTTACTGTGTAGTACAGGGAACTGGAATTATATTCAGTGTTTTATAATAACCTATAATGGAAAATTTAGAACTGGATATGGAACAACAGACTGGTTCCAAATAGGAAAAGGAGTACGTCAAGGTTGTATATTGTCACCCTGCTTATTTAACTTATATGCAGAGTACATCATGAGAAATGCTGGGCTGGAGTAAGCACAAGCTGGAATCAAGNCAGAGGATGAGATGGCTGGATGGCATCACCAACTCGATGGACATGAGTTTGAGTAAACTCCGGGAGTTGGTGATGGACAGGGAGGCCTGGCGTGCTGTGATTCCTGGGGTTGCAAAGAGTCAGACATGACTGAGCGACTGAACTGAACTGAACTGATAATGGAAAATAATCTGGAGAAAATACATGACTTTGCTATCTACTGAAACTGTGCTATACCTACTTTGCTATACACTTTGTTATACTTTGCTATATACCCGAAACTAGCATAATATTGTAAATCAACTATACTTCAATACAAAAGAGAAAAAAGGTGAAAAGATATTTTAACAAAAACAAGCATAAAGAATTAAGAATAAGCATAACTATAATGACAGGAAAAAAAAAGAATTCATGTCTGAATGAAAAGAAAGAAAACAGTAATAACAAAAAGTGCATACACTGAGCACCTAATATGTTGCAGGTACTGTACTACAAATTGTACATTATGGTGCTGGAAGAAGAATTCGGATTTTGGAGTCCAGACAAATTTGAGTTTGAAACCTCCTCCTAAACTCACTAGCTGCATGACTTGAACAAGTCAGAGCTAAGCTTTAATTTTCTAGCTCATATATAGGGACAAAAATATTTCTTTCCAAAGTTCTTAAGAAGATTACAATATTAGAAAGTGAAGGCAGCCTTTATTCCTCTTTTCTTCACATTCTACATCTACCACAATGCAGAATACAATCACTCCTCCCCAGTACTGCTGGTAACATGCTGGTCAGAGCCATCACTATCTTTCTGCATACCGGATCCTAGTTCCCGACCAGGGACTGAACCCATCCCCATGCAGTGGAAGCACAGAGTCTTAACCACTGGACTGCCGGAGAAGTTTCCATTCTTGTCCTTTTAAAACAATTTTCAATATAATAGTCGGTGTGATCCTTTCAAAACATAAATGGGTCATGGAATTCCTCTGCTCTAAAGCCTCCCTTATCACTCCTAGTAAATAAGCCCTGAAGGGATCCCACCCTGGTCGCTCTCATACCTCACCTCCCACTACACTCCAGCCTGCCCTCCCCTACTCCCCCAGCCTGCTCACTCTTGTCTAACATACTTGCCATGTTTCCTACCTCCCTCATTTGCTTCATGCCTTTAGTTAGATATAACTTCCTAAGAGAGGATTAATTAATTAAAAATAATATAGATTAACTGATAATTAATTAAAAGTAACATAGATTAAATTATTGCACAATGCCTGGATAAACTAGGTATTCAATAAACAGTAAAGACAAGTGATTCACTCTAGTCACACTGTAAGTGGTTGAGCTCAAATTTCAAGTAAAAAAATACAGCTCTAAGCTCTACTATCCCTGGTGTCAGCAAGGCTTCCTGGAAGACTACTCCAGCAGACATGGAACTCTCTGTCTTGCAGAAAATCCCAATACTTATTAAAGGTACCACATACTTGGTCATTTACTCATACATGGTCTTAAGAAATATTAATACCACTTTTTTTTCCTTGCACATATACCTTGACTTTCAAAGAAATCAAGATCTTCCTTAATGTTGAGACTGTTTTATATAATTTTCCTTTGTAAAATGTCCTGAGCATCTAAATCAATGCTGAGACAATACTGAGGCATTTAATAAACATAAAATAATAAAACTGTAACTACCCACGTAACACAAGCATTACAGTTTTTGCTGTCCTATCACCAATATTTAATGTCTACTAACCAGATTTTTCTCTCCATATTTTTGAGGTAAAGATTTTTTGGTTGTTTTTTTGAAGAAAATTTTATTCCTTCCTGGCCTTAGTGGAAAATTCTTGGCTGTTTCTTTGGTATTCCTGATCTATTGAGTATTTTTAGACTTAAGTCATATTTCTTTGGGGTCTTCCCTGGTGGTACAGTGGTAAAGAATCTGACTGCCAATGCAGGAGATTCACGTTTGATCCCTGGGTGGGGAAGATGCCCTGGAGAAGGTAATGGCAACCCACTCCAGTATTCTTGCATGGAGAATCCCATGGACAGAGGAGTCTGGTGAGCTACAGCCCATGGGGATGCAAAAGAGTTGGACATAAGGAGCCTAGTAGGCTACAGTCCATTGGGTCGCAAAGAGTCGGACATGACTGAGCGACTTCACTTCACTTCACTAGCGACTAAACAACAATGTATTTCTTTACCTATTTAAATTCTTTAACAGTATAAAATATCATGGTTGAAATAGTTTCCTCTGTAAATCACTACTGTATTTGAGCTTGTGACATCTATTAATCTCTTTATATCTCAAAAATATAATGAAGAAATTACAAATTGGAGACTGGCTAATTCAAAACTGAGTTTGTAGACCAATGGCTCCCAATAAAGAAAGTTAAGTCGCTCAGTTGTGTCTGACTCTTTGCAACCCCATGGACTGTAGCTTACCATGCTCCTCTGTACATGGGATTTTCCAGGCAAGAGTACTGGAGTGGGTTGCCATTTCCGTCTCCAGAGGATCTTCCCAACCCAGGGACCAAACTTGGGTCTCCTGAATTGTAGGCAGAAGCTTTAATATTTGAGCCATCAGGGAAGATTAAAAAAAAATACTGCAGATATGCTTTTTTTTTTTCTCTCTTTTTTGGTGCTGAAACCCAGGAATGAAGAGATGTGCTTTATGGTATATATATGGTTATACTACAGATACCATATATATATGGTTATATATATACATATATATATGTATATATATATGGTTAAACTATTTGTTGAACTGTACCTGAGATTGCATTTTGAGAAACAGTTTGCCTCCACTTTTGAGTACCCAGTGGGCCCCTCTCTCATGTAGATATAAAGTGGCTTCCCAACAGGAGCACATTTTTATATTCTCCATAAAGCTTTCATAAATAGATGTCAGTCCTACCTATAGTTTGGCTACCCATAAAATCACATACTTTTGAATTTATTCAAAAGCAAAGATTTTTACACAAAATATTCTCAGAGAATATGACTTAAAACTGGATGAGAATAATACTACTTTTAACATTTGGCTAAGGGATATTCAATCCATCTCTGTCTATAAACCAGTTCAGTTTAGTCGCTCAGTCATGTCCTACTCTTTGCAACCCCATGAATTGCAGCACTCCAGGCCTCCCTGTCCATCACCAACTCCCAGAGTTGACTCAAACTCATGTCCATCGAGTTGGTGATGCCATCCAGCCATCTCATCCTCTGCTGTCCCCTTCTCCTCCTGCCCTCAATCTTTCCCAGCATCAGGGTCTTTTCAAATGAGTCAGCTCTTCGCATGAGGTGGCCAAAGTACTGGAGTTTCAGCTTCAGCATCAGTCTTTCCAATGAACACCCAGGACTCATCTCCTTTAAGATNTTTCAGCTTCAGCATCAGTCTTTCCAATGAACACCCAGGACTCATCTCCTTTAAGATGGACTGGTTGGATCTCCTTGCAGTCCAAGGGACTCTCAAGAGTCTTCTCCAACACTACAGTTCAAAAGCATCAATTCTTCGGTGCTCAGATTTCTTTATAATCCAACTCTCACAACTATACATGTTCACTGGAAAAACCATAGCCTTGACCAGACGGACCTTTGTTGGCAAAATAATGTCTCTGCTTTTTAATATACTATCTAGGTTGGTTATAACTTTCCTTCCAATGAGTAAGCGTCTTTTAATTTCATGGCTGCAATCACCATCTGCAGTGATTTTGCAAATGCAGGCAGACAGAATACAAGGAAAACTTTTTCAAAATACACATTACTATCTCACATGGGAGGTGGGGGAGATGGGAGGAGTAACAGTCTAATAATTCCTTTGAAGTTGAATGGGCTTTTATAGAAATATTTCAATCTCATGAATATTCTTTTCCAAGAACTGAGTCTGAAGAACCAAAGAAGATATTACTTAATATATATTTTCCTTTAAAATATTACTACACTACTTCTATTTGCTCCTGATTTTTATTACAAATGATAATGAGTTAAAAATATTAAAAAGTTACACCATTTTAAATTAGGGAAGTTTGAGAATAATACTTCAAAAAAACCTTTGCTTCAATTTTTATTATAATTTTTCCTTATGGTAAGTAAGTAAGTTTTCTCATGTAGAGATATAAAGATAGAAAAAAGAGTACAAATGCAACTTCTGTTACTTAGGGCAATATATTTAGTTTCATGGGACACGTGGTGATGGTGGTGGCTTAGTCACTAAGTCGGGTCTGACTCTGCGATCCAATGGACTATAGCCCACCAGGCTCCTCTATCCGTGGGACATGTATAATACTTGATCTATTTATTATTTGGGTAAAATTATTTATTTTTCATTAATTTTCATTCTTAAATTACTACATTTAAAAAATATAAGACAAATTAATGTTCTCTTACACATTTTCTACTCGAACACGCTGATAGTCAGAGAGTATAGCACCTACTGATATTCCCTCTACTTCTTCTTTTTCCTGAAAATAAAGCAAAACATGTTTTAAAAAATAAATAAACATGTGACTCTGTATTATGTTCTGAAAATTATAAATGAATTGTTTCATTTAGAAAACCACCTTGAAACAGAATAATTTACTGAAAATACAATCCACATTCAGGGGAAAAAAGTATATTTAAAAATATATGTTTAACTCACCCTCTCAGTTCTGGGGAGAAATAATTATTCTTTTTACCAAAAACCCCAATAACTAGAGACCATTTTTCAAGGAGAAGATAAAGGCAGCACTCCCAAAATGTTTTCTCACTTGATATCCCTTTAAAGATTCACTGATATTTGACAGAAATTTCTAAGAAATTTCTATTTAAGGACAATGTCTTCTCAGATTGAGTAACTTAAAAAAAATTGAACCAATGGTTGAGTTCAGTCGCTCAGTCATGTCTGACTCTTTGTGACCCCATGGACTGCAGCAGGCCAGGCCTCCCTGTCTATCACCAACTTCCAGAGTTTACTCAAACTCATGTCCATCGAGTCAGTGATACCATCCAACCATCTCATCCTCTTGTCATCCTCTTCTCCTCCTGCCTTAAATCTTTCCCAGCATCATGGTCTTTTCAAATGAGTCAGTTCTTTGCAGCAGGTAGCCAAACTACTGGAGTTTCAGCTTCAGCATCAGTCCTTCCAATGAATATTCAGGACTGATTTCCTTTAGGATGGACTGGTTGGATCTCCTTGTTGTCCTAGCAACTCTCAAGAGTCTTCTCCAACACCACAGTTCAAGCACATCAATTCTTTGGTGTTCAGCTTTCTTTATAGTCCAACTCTCACATCCATATATGACTACTGGAAAAACCATAGCTTTGACTAGATGGACCTTTGTTGGCAAAGTAATGTCCCTGCTTTTTAATATGCTGTATAGGTTGGTCATGACCTTCCTTCCAATGAGCAAGTGTCTTTTAATTTCATGGCTGCAGTCACCATATGCAGTGATTTTGGAGCCTCCCAAAAATAAAGTGTGCCGTAAGTTTCCAGTGTTTCCTCATCTATTTGCCATGAAGTGATGGGACTGGATACCATGATCTTAGTTTTCTGAATGTTGAGTTTTAAGCCAGCTTTTTCACTCTCTTCTTTCACTTTCATCAAGAGGCTCTTTAGTTCCTTTTCACTTTCTGCCATAACGGTGGTGTTATCTGCATATCTGAGGTTATTGATATTTCTCCTGACAATTTTGATTCCACCTTTTGATTCCTCCAGCCCAGCATTTCTCATGATGTATTCTGCATATAAGTTAATAAGTAGGGTGATAATATACAGCCTTGACGTACTCCTTTCCCGATTTGGAACCAGTCCATTGTTCTATGTCCAGTTCTAACTGTTGCTTCTTGACCTACATATAGCTTTGTTCATAGTGATGCTTCCTAAGGCCCACTTGACTTCACATTCCAGGATGTCTGGCTCTAGATGAGTGATCACACCATCATGATTATCTGGGTCATGAAGATCTTTTTTGTATGGCTCTTCTGTGTATTCTTGCCACCTCTTCTTAATATCTTCTGCTTCTGTTAGTTCCATGCCATTTCTGTCCTTTATTGTACCCATCTTTACATGAAATGTTCCCTTGGTATCTCTAGTTTTCTTGAAGAGATCTCTAGTCTTTCCCATTACATTGTTTTCCTCTATTTCTTTGCATTGATCACTGAGGAAGGCTTTCTTATCTCTCCTTGTTATTCTTTGGAAATCTGCATTCAAATGGGTATATCTTTCCTTTTCTCTTTGCCTTTCACTTCTCTTCTTTTCACAGCTATTTGTAAGACCTTGTCAGCAAACATTTTGCCTTTTTGCATTTCTTTTTCTCAGGGATGGTCTTGATCACTGCCTCCTGTACAATGTCATGAACCTCTGTCCATAGTTCATCAGGCTTTCTGTCCATCAGATTTAATCTCTTGAATCTATATGTATAGTTGTAAGGGATTCCACTGTATAATCATAAGCAATGGTATAAGTAGATAAAGGAATACAATGATTTTTATCTGTATCTTAAAAAAAAAAAAGATTGGCAGAGGAACATACAGGAAGTAGAGATGATAGAGGATAAAGAAATCTCAAATAAGGACACAATGAAATCTTGTCAACAGAGTTACAAGTCAGAACACCCAACAGTATATTCAGCAGTATCCCCCATGGATGAGGGCTAACCTATCTATCTAGCACACCCACTAAAAATGTAATTTCAAATATGATCAAGTTTGCAGATGAAAGCTAGAATGGATTAAAAAGAAAAGAAGATCAATCAAGTACCTCGATGGATATGGACAACACAGGGATCTGGAAGGACAGGCCCCAAATGAGATTTAATGAAAGGAAGTATAAAACAATACACTAAGGGAAGAATCATACACAACACAGGTATAAATTAGGGAACTGTTATCTAGAAAACAGATATGAAAAAGTAACTAGTGGTGATTACTAATAACAAACTGAACAGAAATTCTCTGAATAGACATAAAAGAAAAGTCATCCTAGACCTTTGGAGTACAGAAGAAACTACTTCAGAGAGATGATTTCTTTATTAACACTCTGGTTTTTCCAAACTTGAAAAACTACAAAGTACAACAGCGTTTCACATAAAAATAAATGTAATACTTTGAGATATTCTAAAATAACCTTGAATGTCCTAAAACGATGCCATAATAAATAAACAAAAATGAACAACAGGAATCTCTCATGTCTTTGAAGACTAAAGCAAATTTAAAATTTCTACTCTAAAATGATAAGAGAAATATCTTACCAAATTTCCTCAAAATAAATAGATTCTCCAGGAAAAGAGCTATTTCCTTTGTTTTTTTATTTCAGCAACTTTGTAAGAACATTTGCTTGTGACCTTTCTCTAACTTTCCCAGCCACTTTATTTTTTATAAAAGTCATTGTATTAGTAGAAAAAAGGCAAAGTGTAGTGTTTCTCGTTACATGCAAATATGGCATAGATCACAGAGTAGTGAGTGATATTATTAACAAGATCAACATTTCAGTTATATTCTTATACTATATATTGTTTATCTGAAGTTCTGTCAAAAGAAAATATAAGGTCTTGAATATTATATATAGGTGTGTGTCTGTGTGTGTTTCTCAATAATTCATGAAAACAAATATCAGTCACTGAAGTTTTCTTTGCACACTTAAGTCAAGACACTTTTGACATTTATTATCTATTTAAAATGGGTTAATGTTCTATCATTCTCATTTATTATTCACCATAACCCCAAAATTATTATTATTTAATTCCTTTTAGTCTACATGAAGTCTCTGGAATTCTCTTCTATTTCTATCTCTCATTTTCTATTTCATAATATTGAACTAATCAGTTCTAGAATTACATACCCAGCTAAATTTGGCTGTTCTTCGATCTAAGCCCACCTAAATAAAGATTATTAGTTACACTTTTTTTTCAACAGTCATCATTACTACTACCCATTAGAAATTCAGTCCTATTACCTATTTAGCTCTGTGATTTTGAACAAGTTATATAATTTCTCTGTTTCTCAGTTTCCTTATCTATATAGTGAAGATAATTATAGCTCTGTTTTTGAGGGTTATTATGAACACTGAGTAAAATAATACAGAAAAATAACAGTGACAAGCATCTAGTAAGCAGAGTAAATACTTTCTTCTGTCACTATAAATCTTCTTTATTTTTACTAATATTATTCTATAACTATTTCAACTACTACTTCTACTATTGCTACTGCTAACTACCACCACCACCACCACTACTGTTACTACTACTACAACTAAATAAAGGCCTAACTTGACAGACAAAGCCCTTCATTCCTGGGCTTTAATCTCTTGCTCATTATTACTTTTTAACAAAGGTTCCCCAACTTGTAATAGTTAATTTTATGTGTCAATTTGACTAGGCTAAGGCGTACCTAGATTGAACATCTAGTACCTGATAAAACATCATTTATTTCTGTAAAGATGTTTCTGGAAGAGATTATGATTTGAAGTGGTAGACTGGGTAAGGAAGATAGCCCTAATCAATGCAGGTGAGCATCGTCCAATCTCTTGAGGGCCTGAATAGAACAGAAAAGTAGAGGAAGGGCATATTTACTCACTTGAGCTGGGACATCCACCTTCTGTCCTCAGACACCAGTGTTCCTGGTTCTGGGGCTTTTGGACTCAGACTGAAATTTAAAACACTGGTCCTCTTGTTCTCAGGCTTTGGGGTTTGGATGGAACTATATCACTAGTTTTTTAGGCCCCCAGTCTGCCAGTGGCACAGCATGGGACTTCTCAGGTTTCATGATCAGATGAACTAATCCCTCAAAACAAATCTCTTTCCATATATCTTTATATATTCTATTGGTCTTGTTTCTCTGGAGAATCCTGACTAATACACAATCCTTGACAACCAACTCTACAGTCCAGTTACAAACTTTTCAAACCTAGTGAGCCCCGGATATCCAAAGATTGAGTAAGACTTTTGTTGCACCCTTATCATTCAGAACATACTACTAATTTTGAAGAAAGACAAAACACATCTTTAAAAGGTAAATATCTAGCAGATAGGCAATCTAGTCTGTAGGAAATACAGAGCTAAGCTCAGGTCCTAATCTGTGACTCATGCCATCTGGGGGAAAAGTTGGTAACTTAAAAGGTGTGTGTGCCTCCTACAAGCCATGGCGCCCTCAGGGCCATCTGCTGAGCCCTTCTCTCACTCTGCGCCCTGCTTCTTGAGGTTCTTGTTTGCTTCTGTGGCGTCAAGTTCTCCTACATGCTGACAGCACCTCCATCTTCCTCTAAACTCTCTTGAGTACCAGAGTACAGCTGTTCCTTGGTATGTGAGGAGGACTGATTCCAGGACTCCACTGTGGATACCAAAATCCTAGGACGCTCAAGTCTCTTATATAAAATGGTGCAGCATTTAGATATATATACACATTCTCTCTAAAGAAAGAATACCTTAATAAAACAATGTACATGTCATATAATAGTTATAAATACAACGACTAGATTAGCCAA